GTAGCACTCAATTCTCCTCTACACAACTCTGTAGCACACCTGACGGGTGGTGGTTGGTGGGGGAGGGGCAGCTCAGTGATGAAGAACCACACCCTCACACACAGGTGTTTGACAATGACATCTCCTACATTGAGGGTGGAACAGCCAGTGGCTTCTACACTGTGGAAGACACACACTACATCACCAGGTGAGATGTGTAGGCAGTGGGGGGCATGGAGCTGGAGTTGGCTGGAAAGGGGTGGAGGGGAGGGTATTGGGGCTAAGTTGGGCCATTGGTGCCCACACTGAGCCACTCTTGCCTTGCGCCCAGGATGTATCGTGTTTATGGGAAAAAGAACATCAAGTTGGAGCCTGTGCCTCTCAAGGGGGCCTCTCTGGACCCAAGGTGAGCCCTGACGATGTGAGGTGGGGGTGCTTCACCCTCAGCCTCCTCCCCACCAGTGGGGGCAGGTGTGGGCCTCTTAGAAGAGGAGGCCCTCTAACAGCCCCTTTAACTCCTGCCCATGACCTTGGTGGGAGGTCCCTGAGACTCACCCAGAAACCCCATAACGGGGGATTTGTTTGGTGGGGTCAGGAGTGTGGGGCGATCATTGCCCCATCACAGATCCTTCTTGCCCCTTCCTGTCCAGGTTTGTTTTCCTGCTGGACCGAGGGCTGGACATCTACGTGTGGCGGGGGACCCAGGCCACGCTCAGCAGCACCACCAAGGCCAGGTACGAGGACACCGTGGGGTCTTTTCTGTGAAGGAAAGGGGTGCGAGCCTCACTGATGACTCTGCATCCTGCTCTCAGGCTCTTTGCAGAGAAAATTAACAAGAATGAGCGGAAAGGGAAGGCCGAGATCACACTGCTGGTGCAGGGCCAGGAGCTCCCAGAGTTCTGGGAGGCACTGGGTGGGGAGCCCTCTGAGATCAAGAAGCACGTGCCTGATGACTTCTGGCCGCCCCAGCCCAAGTTGTACAAGGTAAGCCCTGATGCTGGGGTGCAGGGCTGGCCTGACCCACAGCCACCTGCAACGGTGTGTATGTAGCCCATTCCCCCAATCAGGGCTACTGATTTGGGGAATGGGCTACACACCGCTGCAGGTGGCTGTGGGTTCCATCTTGACCTTGGTGGGGAGAGGGTGCCACCTTCTGGACAAGGAACAGTCTGAGCAAAGGTCCAGAGGCTGGTTTTGAGAAGTTCATGAGGAAGTGTTTCCAGGATGGTGGGGCTGTAGGGGAGACAGAAGCGCCCAGTGCCAGGTCTGGAATCTTGGCTCAATTATCCGGGTGCCAGGAAGCCACCAGATTCTTGTGAACAGGAATGGGACAAGTTAGAGGATTAGAAATGGCATGAAGGCCGGGCGCAGTGGCTCACGCCTGTAATGCAACCACTTTGGGAGGCTAAGTCAGGCAGATCACAAGGTCAAGAGATCAAGACCATCTTGGCCAACATGGTGAAACTCCATCTCTACCAAAAATATATTTTAAAAAATAATTAGCTGGGCATGGTGGCATGTACCTGTAGTTCCAGCTACTCGGGAGGCTGAGGCAGGAGAATCGCTTGAACCCAGGAGGTGGAGGTTGCAGTGAGCCGAGATCACGCCACTGCACTCCAGCCTGGCGACAGAGCAAAACTCTGTCAAAAAAAAAAAAAAAAAAAAAGGAATGGCATGAAGGGCCTGGAGAGGGCAGGCAGGGAAAGTACCATTTAAAAGCCCTTCTGAAAGGATATCCCTAAAAAGACCTTGATTGATGGGGAGAGGGAAACAGGAGCAGGCAGTGAGCCATGCTGCAGAGCAGGGCTGGTTCCAAAGCAGGGGCCTGTGGGTGAGGTTCCTGTCTGCAGAACCCCTCCCTGCCATGCCCATCCTTCGTGCCAGGTGGGCCTGGGCTTGGGCTACCTGGAGCTCCCACAGATCAACTATAAGCTCTCCGTGGAACATAAGCAGCGTCCTAAGGTGGAGCTGATGCCAAGAATGCGGCTGGTAAGAGACGCAGGAGGAGGGCGCGGGCCTGGATCGTTCCCCATTGGCCAGGCTTTGACCTCCAGGCTCCTGGTCTGCAGCTGCAGAGTCTGCTGGACACGCGCTGCGTGTACATCCTGGACTGTTGGTCCGACGTGTTCATCTGGCTCGGCCGTAAGTCCCCGCGCCTGGTGCGCGCTGCCGCCCTCAAGCTGGGTCAGGAGCTGTGCGGGATGCTGCACCGGCCACGCCATGCCACAGTCAGCCGCAGCCTCGAGGGCACCGAGGCTCAGGTGCGCTTGCCGCTCCGGAGGCCCCTCCCCAGGATCCTTCACACCCCAACGTGCTCCGATCCCTGTGGTTCCACTACCTCCCTACAGAGCTGGGCCCAAACCCACCTCCTCTTTGCTGACCCTGCCCAGGCCCCGCCCCCTCTGCAAGCTGCCCCTTTTACTACCTGTGTCCGAGGCCCCACCTCCCAAGCCTCGCCCTAGATCTCCCTGGGGTCCCGCCTCTCAAGCCTCGGGTTACTTCCTCCAACCCCAACCTTGATCATGCCGCACCCCTCATAGTAAGTTGATGACCTCCCTGTCAGGTGTTCAAGGCCAAGTTCAAGAATTGGGACGATGTGTTGATGGTGGACTACACGCGCAATGCAGAGTCTGTGCTGCAGAGCCCGGGTCTCTCCGGGAAGGTGAAACGCGACGCTGAGAAGAAAGACCAGATGAAGGCTGACCTCACTGCGCTCTTCTTGCCTCGGCAGCCGCCCATGTCGCTGGCGGAGGTGGGGCGGGCCCGGGGGCGGGCGGGGGCGGGTCCAATGCACAGAGCTTGCTCAGACCTGCCGCGGGCGGGGCTCTGCCACCCGTAGGCAGAGCAGCTGATGGAGGAGTGGAATGAAGACCTAGATGGCATGGAGGGTTTCGTGCTGGAGGGCAAGAAGTTCGCGCGGCTGCCGGAGGAGGAGTTCGGCCACTTCTACACACAGGACTGCTATGTCTTCCTCTGCAGGTGCCACCTCAGCACTCTCTTCCCCGAGCCCCTCCCCAGGTGCTGGTGGCTCGAGCCCTTGCTTACAACCCTCCAATCCGGCAGGTACTGGGTACCCGTGGAGTACGAGGAGGAGGAAAAGAAGGAAGGCAAGGGGGAGGAGAAGGCCGAGGGCAAAGAAGGTGAGGAGGCAACAGGCGAGGCAGAGGAGAAGCAGCCAGAGGAGGACTTCCAGTGCATCGTGTACTTCTGGCAGGGCCGCGAAGCCTCCAACATGGGTTGGCTCACCTTTACCTTCAGCCTGCAGAAGAAGTTCGAGAGCCTCTTCCCTGGCAAGCTGGAGGTGTGCCCGGCAGCTCGAGGCCAGGCGGAGGGGTGTGGTGGGGCCCAGACCCAGTGGAGGTTTGGGTACCGAGGGGCAGGTGAGGGTCCAGGGAGCTGCCCCTAACACTTCCGTATCCCCAGGTGGTACGCATGACGCAGCAGCAGGAGAACCCCAAGTTCCTGTCCCATTTCAAGAGGAAGTTCATTATCCACCGGGGCAAGAGGAAAGCAGCTCAGGGCGCCGTGCAGCCCAGCCTCTACCAGATCCGCACCAATGGCAGCGCCCTTTGCACCCGGTGCCTGGCTGGGGGAGGACACAGTGGTGAGCAGGGGTCAGGGAGCCAGGCCTGACTCCTTGCTGATACCCCATCCCTTCCACAGGTGCATCCAGATCAACACCGATTCCAGCCTCCTCAACTCCGAGTTCTGCTTCATCCTCAAGGTGGGGCTGTGGGTCTGAGACAGGACTCCATGGACCAAGGGGTGGTGGGGCGTTTGGTGGTTGGGCCAGCCTGGAACACCCCCCCACTCCCACCCCTGCACACTCCCCAGGTTCCCTTTGAGAGTGAGGACAACCAGGGCATCGTGTACGCCTGGGTAGGCCGGGCATCAGACCCTGACGAAGCCAAATTGGCAGAAGACATCCTGAATACCATGTTTGATGCCTCCTACAGCAAGCAGGTCAGGAGGTGGGCAGGCAGGCGGGCACACACGGTGGGGGGGGGGGCGTAGGGCAGGCAGGGGCCCTGGGCTGGACTGGCCTTTCCCACAGGTGATCAATGAAGGCGAGGAGCCTGAGAACTTCTTCTGGGTGGGCATTGGGGCCCAAAAGCCTTATGACGATGATGCCGAGTACATGAAGCACACGCGGCTCTTCCGGTGAGGCCAGGGCCCTGACCCCTCCCCTCAGTCTTGCCACTGCTGCTTATGACCTCTGGCCTCACCTTGATCCTTGACTCCCAGGTGCTCCAACGAGAAGGGCTACTTCGCAGTGACTGAGAAATGTTCTGACTTTTGCCAAGATGACCTGGCAGATGACGACATCATGTTACTTGACAACGGCCAAGAGGTGAGGTGCTGCCACCGGCCCCGCCCATCCAAGGAGATGCCCATAGGCTTGTAAATGGGAATTCTCGGGCCAGGAGCAGGGGGGTGTTCCCAGGCACCCATGCGACCATCTCCTTTGCTGCCCCCACAGGTCTACATGTGGGTGGGGACCCAGACTAGCCAGGTGGAGATCAAGCTAAGCCTGAAGGCCTGCCAGGTGAGCTGGGTGAAGGGACAGCTAAGATGGGGCCTGTGGGCAGGGCAGGGTCATCACTCAAGGCTGGCTTTCCCTTGCCAGGTGTATATCCAGCACATGCGGTCCAAGGAACATGAGCGGCCTCGCCGCCTGCGCCTGGTCCGCAAGGGCAATGAGCAGCACGCCTTCACCCGGTGCTTCCATGCCTGGAGCACCTTCCGCAAGGCCCTGGCCTAGGACAGACTGGCACAGCCCCAGGCTGGGTGAGGAAGAGGAAGGGGCCTTGTCCACTTTCTGCTAGCAGAGAATGTACTCAGGTGACAACGCCTGCCCCAGCCACACCCAGTGCCACAGTTCCCAGCAGCCTCAAGCAGCACCAATGGGGTCTGGGAAATCTGACTCCCTCCACAGTGTGAGCACACGTGTGAAGCCCCCTCACTTCCCTGCCAGGGATAAAGCAGATGCGGCTGCCCTTTAAGGATATTAAATGCTTTTATTTTCAATATTAAAAATCAGTATTTTTAATATTAAAATGACACTAATTTTAACAAAATGACAGAAAAAAAAACCCAAGGTACAATCTACAGGGAAACTCATCTTGGCCCCCCACCCCCCTACACACACATCTGACTGGGGTGCCCAGCAGAGCTCCCAGTCACATGCACGCACGCACGCACGCACACACACACACACACACACACACACACACACGACAAGCTGGGGACTGGCCCAGGAGCAAGTACCAAAATAGTTTTAGAAACAACTGTCCAGCCCAGGTGCTAGAAAAATACTCTTTGCAAAGTGAGGGGGAAGGACGGTGTGTGGAGTGCGAGGTGGGATGAGGTGCGAGGTGGGATGAGGTGCTAGGCCCCACCTGTCCTTTTCCCTAGGCAGTGGCCCCCCCAGGGCAGCCAGATGCCTGCAGGAGGACTCAGTTCTGGCCCCAGAGGCTCTGGGCCAAGTCCCAGGCCCATACCCTGGCACTGGTGCTGCTCCAGGGCCCCGGGTCACGAGGGACAGGACAGCAGTCCAGTGGAGCCTACAGGTTAGCAGGTGTGGTTCTATGTTAAGGGGCCAGGAAGGTGCCAGGGATCCAGCACTCCAGCTCCGAGCAGGGCAGGTGGAGGTCGGGATAGTTCTGGCCTTCCTGGGAGAGGGAGAGAAGAGGTATCAGCAGAAGGTGAGGGAGGGCCAAAGAGGACAGGCGGACTGCCACAGCCCCCGGGCCACACAGGTACTGCCAGTCTCCTCTGCAGGGCAGGCATGGCTCTTCAGTGACTGTCTGAGACGGGCTTGCTGAGTCTCTAGGTGAGTATCCAAGTGTCAGGCCACACATGCCCCACTGAGGCCAGGGAGGGTTACCAAAGAGCTGGAAGGTGTCCATGTGCAGTGTAGGGTGGGGCCATGGCATACAGTCAGGTGGCTCGGAGCACAAGGCAGCAAATATGTTAAGATTCCCAGATCCAGGTGAGGATCCACACCGAGACTCAGGTGGGGCATCAGCCACTTGCTGGGCCCAACCGGCAGGACCTGACCTTGTGCACCTCAGTGATCTCATCTATGAAATGGGCTGGCCAAACCAGCTCCCAGGACCCAAACTGCTGCCACCTCTAAGTGGTTTAATCTTGTCTTGTCCTCGCCACCACCTGTCACATGCAAGGGCTGAGGGGCTGGCCTTGCTTTTCTAATACCCAACCATAACATTTGTGTCTATGTGAGCCCCAAAAGTCCCCAATTGAGACACACTTTGGAAGGGAGCCAGGCTTCAGAGACTGCCACCATCACAGGGGCCTGCCAGGATCCTAGGTGGGAGACCAGGGCCAAGTGGGGCTCAGACAGGGGCTGGAGGGGTGGATGCTGCCAATGGTGAGGACCAGGGCCCCACCCCTGCAGCACCTCATTTGATCAGGATGGCACAGGCACGGGCCTCATCTTCTGCCAGGTTCCTCAGGTTCTTCTCAGACTCCTCGGAGGAGCTGTGAGATGGGGATTGTATTCAGGGGTGGGGGCAGGGGAGTCCCTGGCAGCCCTGGGGAGGGAGGCCGAGGGGACAGGGTAACCCTTCCTGTGGACCTGCCCACCAGCCTCACCCCAGGAAATCCTTCACATCTTCTACTGTGACGTCCCCTGTTGTGTCCAGCGTGGTGTCAGCACTGGTGGCCGAGTCGATGGACATGGGCGAGAGTGCGGCCTCAGGTGGCTCTGGGGTGTCTGCAGGGAGCAAGTGATCAGCCCCTACCAGGACCCTTAGCACCCTCTGCACCTAGGGACTGGGGACACAGGCCCAAAGGCAGCCAATGGTGAGAGGTGACACCCATGGGCACACAACTACCCCTCTCCTACAGATCCTGTCCTTGAGCTATGTGAGTCCTGACTCCCTCCCTCAGGGCACCGTGGGGCCAGGGCCTGGACTCATTTCATGCCCCTCCTCACCAGATCCCTTGCTGTGGGCTAGATCAGGGCTTCCATCAAGGCTCTGTGGGGCCAGCAGGATGCTTGGGGTCCCGTTAGCCTGGCTCAGCTTGGGTGACTCTTGGAGCCTGTAAGTGCAGAGATAGGCATGTGGGGACCATAGGTCGGTGCCTTGAGGTTGGCACATTAGATCTCTGCCCTCCCACTCCCAAGCCCAGGGAAGGCAGATCTTGGGGGTGGGATGAGACCTGGCCCTGGTCACAGGTCCCCCAGACTAGGGGCTGCCTCCATCCACACACCTGGCCTGGGTGGCATCACGGGGCCAGTTAATGTCCAGAGAGCAGAGTGGTTCTGTGATGTTCCGGGCACTTAGGGAGAAGCGTTCAAATTCTGATGGGGATATCAGGTAAAAGCCTGGGTGGACAGAAGAATGAGGACTGCAGTTAGGAGATGCCACCAACCACAGCTCCTCCATGGGCAGGGCCTGTGCCCACCCGGAGTGCCCTTCCCAAGCAGCACTGGCCCTGCTCAGCTTGCTCGCCTAAGAAAGGCCTCCTTGGCCTCAGCCCCACCTCACCCTGGCCATGGCGCGTGAAGATGCACGAGGCGATGCCACTGATGTCCTCCTTCCGGATGCAGGAGTAGTGCACCTGGGGCCGCAGGCCAGGCACCGAGAAGACGTGGACATCGCCCAGGTTGGTGAGGCAGGCCAGGCAGGTCTCAGCATAGTCCTCGCAGGCCACACTGGCAAACGTGGCCAATGCCACCTTGCGCACACGACAGCCCTCATGGGCCGTCAACTTGAACTTGGTCTTGGCGCTCACCTTGGGCAGTGTGAAGACCTGACAGCAGATGGCTGGTGAGCACAGAGCCTGGCCCTGTCATCCCCAGGGCCCCTCACCCTCATGGCTGCTGACCCACCAGCCCCCACCACAAAGTCCAGCCTCATTGCCACATGGCCTCCCCTGCCTGTACACCTGGCTGGCCCTGCTGGTGCTGCCCCACTAAATTCCACTTGACGCCGTACTCCAGAAACCTCCCAGGCCCTCTCTCAATCTGTGACAAAAATCAATCACAGAATGCCTAGAGTTCTTTCTGGGCAGCGCCCCTGGGGACTGGGCTCAGGGGTCTTGGCAGAGTACAGGAGCCTTGCAGAGGACAGTGAGATAGGACAGTCTTAGGGGAACTCAGCAGGCTGAGGGGGCATCAGGGTTCTTGGGGAGTTTTCTGCTGGCTAGGGGTGTTCAGCTGGGGTGCAAGGGTCTTAGGTCCCAACAGTAGGGGATACAGGCAGACGGGGCTCTAGAGGATCCAATGGTGGGGCCTGGAGGGTTCCCCCACAGCCCACAGTGGCTCACCTTGAACTGCTCCTCAGACGCGATTAGCACAGCATGACCACCCTGCATGTCAGGTGCCTGCGCCAGGTCCCGTGAGGCCTCATAGGGCTCAGGCAGCGGGCGGCCACGCCCATCCAACACGGCGATGGCCACCACAGGCGCCCGGTGCATCAGCTGCACTTCCTTGCCCAGCACGGCCTCCACTGCTTGCTCAGGCCGCTTCTCACCACCCACTGCTGCTGCTGGCACCTCTAGTGCATAGGCGAACACAGAGCCCGAGTTGGTGCCAGCCCACATGGTAGGCCCATGGTGGGCCCCTGCAGAAAATGAGCTCGTGAGGAGGGTGCTCCCTGCAGGCCAGGCATCTCCCCTGCAGTCTCCCCACAGACTGCAGGCACTTCCCGGCCTCTCTTGTACCCCTCCTTCCTAACTGTGACACCCTGGGACTCAGGGCTGGTTCCCTCCTGTCCCATGCCTCCCTGGTGACCTCCAGCCTTGAGGCCTGAGACCCTAGCTCTATGCTGCTGACTGCATCAGAGCCCAGGATGCAGCCCTCCTGCAGAGGCCCCAACAGCTGGAGCGCATCTGCACAGGATGCCAATGGGCGCCCAAACCAGACCGAGCCCTCCAGCTCCGTCCCACTGCACCTTCAACCCCCGTATCAGTAAATGCAGCTCCATCCTAGCATCACTCACCCCCAGGCCCTACAAGCCCGACTCCTCTCTCCAGCCCCGTATCCCCTTGCTAGTCCTGTCAACAGACTGGAACCAGGCCCCCATGCACCCCACACGTGCATCTTATCTCAGCCCCTGCTTCACCCCACCTTCAGTGTGTTCCCCACGTGGCAGCCAGAGAAAGCCACCAAGCCTGGGGACACCTAGGACGCCCATACACCGACCCTGCTCTGCCTGTGTGAACTGAACCTCTGGGGGATGAGCTTTAGTGGAGAATCAGAGCCAAGCCCTGAAGAAGCCAGGGCAGACTTGGAAGCTCACCCACCCGCACCCTGATGACCTGATGGATCCTGGGGCAGTAAGTACCTGCACAACTCAAAACATGCGCAACAGCAGCCCTAGGTGGCCATGAACATGACCCTCCTTGGGATGGTGGAACAAGTTAAAAACCCCAGGCTGTCCTCTTCTGGGTCTTTGTGGTCAGAAACAACAAAAGCCAAAGAACCCCCCACCTCCAGCTCCATCCGCCACATCCAGACAGTGGGAAAATACACTACAGAAAGACCATCGACAAATAAATGACATCAGAAAGCAGAGCTCGACCAAGCAGATGACACTCAGGAATTCACGTTGGTTCTAGAGGGCATGATGTGAACAGTGGCTGTCAGTGACATCTGTCAGGCCCATGCTGAAGTACTCGTGTCTGGGTTTTCGTTAAAATGCCCCGGCAAGATAAACAGTAAAGAGTATGGGGGAGGGGGACAGCCTCTGCAGGGGCACACAGCCGGTGGCAGACAGGCAAGGTATGTGGGACAACTTTGCACCTCTCTATTTTTGTGTATGTTTGAAATTCTCCCATTGTACAAAGTCAATGAGTCAACACATCCAGGACCTAGTCAAGAGTTCCCAGGCTGCCAAGAGTCCAAGCCACATTCTTAGCCTCTGGCCAGTACCAGCACCTCCCTGAGCCACACTCCTCGACCCCCACCTGCTCCACTCCAGCCAAGTGGCTGGGCAGCACCCACACACATGCCTGCCTCAGGGCCTGGGCAAGGGCCAGTGCCCCTCATTGTCGTCCTCCAGGCCCCAACCTTCCTTCTCCTGGCTCAGATCTGAGAGGCTCACCCAGCTCACTCAACAACCCCTTACCATCCATCTCCCCCAGGGGGTCTGTGGGTGATCAGGCAACAAGTGGAACAAGTTAAAAGCCCCAGGCTGTCCTCTCCTGGGTCTTTGTGGTCAGAAAAAAAACAAAAAGCCAAAGAACCCCCGACACCTCCAGCTCCATCTGCCACATCCAGACAGTGGGAAAATCCACTGCACTCCCCTGCGGGAGCTGGATGGTAAGGGGTTTTTTTCTGAGATGGTCTCGCTCTGTCATCCAGGTTGGAGTGCAGTGGAGCGATCTCGGCTCACTGCAACCTCCACCTCCCAGTTCAAGCGATTCTCCTGCCTCAACCTTCCAAGTAGCTGGGATTACAGGTGCCCACCACCACACCTGACTAATTTTTGTATTTTTAGAAGAGACGGTTTCAACATGTTGGCCTGGTGTGTCTCAAACTCCTGACATCAGGTGATCCACCCACCTCGACCTCCCAAAGTGCTGGGATTGCAGGTGTGAGCCACCGCACTTGGCCACATTCAGTAAAACTTTCAAACCTCTTGCAAGGTGCAGTCCCACCACCTCCCCTGCCACCACCCATCTCCCAGGTGGCCAATTGAGGCCAACCTCCCCAACCCTTGCCCTTTCCCTGCCCCTGCCTTACCATCTCGAAGGAATGTGTCAGCAAAGTATAGGCAACGCACGACACCTGACAGGGAGTCATCGGCAGAGCGGGGCTCAATGCGGCGCTGCACAGGCGTCATCTCCACGTCGTGGGGGCAGGCCTGCTCAGCCAGCTGTGCGTTGGCCTCCTGCAACTGCAGAGCGGGGGCTCCTGAACACCGTCTCCCTAGCACTCCAGCAGCCTTGCATCCTGGCTTGTGCCCTACATTCTGTTACCATTCCCCCACCACTCTGCCCAGCTCATCCATCCCTCTGGAGGGCCCAGGGACTGCAGAGGGAGGAGCACTGTGAGATAAGCAGGCCCCAGGGGTCCCAGGCCAAGGCACAAGACAGGCACAGCTCCCATGCAGCCTACCCCAGCTCACCTTGCTGCTGGCATTAGCAGCCCGCTTCTTGCCTGAGACACGGCTCTTGCGAATGCGCCGGAAAGACTGGCGTAGCGACTTCTTCAGAGACTTCACCCGGGAGAGCGGCCCCTCCATGGCCAGGGAGTCGTTGGGGTGAAGAGTGCACCTGGGGGCAGACAGGGTCCAGTCGTGCTACACAGCAGTCTCCTGGAGCGGCCACCACACTCCTGCTGGCCTGATGAGGCACCTAGGTCAGGGAGTCACAGCCCCTCTGGCACGGTCCTGTGGACCCAGCTGCTGGTGGCACTGAGAATGTCCTTCTTGGAGCTGCCAGGTAATTTCTTTTCCTTTTTTTTTTTTTTTTTTTTTAAGACGGGGTTTCACCATGTTGGTCAGGCTGGTCTTATCCCAACCTCAGGTGATCCGCCCGTCTTGGCCTCCAAAGTGCTTGGATTACAGGCGTGAGCCACCACGCCTGGCCACTGCCAGGTTATTTCTTATGGAGCAATGGAGATTAGTGGGACCTTTGCCATACCAAACACTAGAGGCGGAAACAGAAACCCCCACCCCATCTTGCTGGGGGCTCCAGCTGCCCAGCCACCCCCACCCCACACACCTGGCTAGCACAGGGCTCTTGCGCTGGTAATCAAAGAGGCCAAAGCCATGACTGGTGCCAAAGGCCACAAGGCTCCACTCGGTGTGGAGTGTGACAGCGGTGACAGCAGCTGGCGGCAGGCACTGCATCAGGACACGGGGCTGGAAGCCAGCAGGCCAAGGCAGCAGCCCCGTGCGTGGGCTCAGCCGCTCATGGCCCTTCCACGTGAAGCCCTCACGGTCCTGGAGGAGGTCCACGATGGCCACGCTGACCGCCCGCTCCGCCGGCACATCACTGAGCTCCAGTAACAGCACCTGAGTCCACAGCCAGGCAGGGGGAATGTCAACACAGGGGAGGGGCTGCCCGGGGCCCCACTGGGCCTGTAGCCTCTGAAGCAGCCCCAGGTACCACCCAGGTGGTTCTAGGACTGTCTTCAGTTCATCAGCCAAATATGCACTCACTGAATGCCTACTGTATACCAAGGCCCTCACTGAGCACCAACGAACACAGTGGTGACCAAGACACACTAGTCCCTGCCCTCCAAGGGCAAAGTGCCCATCCTTGCCCTGAGCCTCTGTCTCCCAGTTGGCAATACGGACACAGTGAGCACCTCCTGTATGCCATGAGAGCACCTGAGCAAGAACGGGCACGAGTTCCCACCCCCTCCTCAACACTCTGTGTTTCCCGCCCCCCGCGCCAAAACCTGATTCAAGGTCCCCAGCAACAGGCCACTTCCCATCTGTCCTCACCCCAGCCAGCCCCACCAGCCCCACCAGGAGCCCTATTCCCACCTTGGCTTTTGCCTGTGCCAGTCCATTTCCCCCTCCACCAGACCCTCCAGTTAAGACCCATCTCCTCCAGAAAGCCCTCCCTGACATCTCCAACCCAGGGCACACCCAGCCCTACCTGGCCTGCAGTGCCAGCCACCACCATCTGGGCTGTGTACTTGCAGAGAGCAACCTTCTGTACACCAAGCCGGGGATCATCACTGTAGGGATCAAAGCAGCCCACCTGGAGGGAGGGGAAGGAATGATGAGTCCAGGCAGAGTGGGGACCAGCTCCTCAGGGCCAGGGGAGGGGCCCACCTTGCGGAAGGGTGGCCAGTCATCCTCGGCAGCCTGAGCCAGGCTGTCAGCGTGCTCACAGTCTGTCTGGAAGAGGCCGGCTGTGCTCAGCTTATAGAGTGGCCGCAGTGCCACACCCGAGGCATCCCAGAACCTCACAGTGCCGTCTTCATGGCTGCAGGGAGGGCAGATGTCAGGGTCACCCCTGGGTTCCTGGGAGACCTGTACAACCCCTCCGTTCACTTATCCGATGACCACTCACTAAGCACCTACCGCATGTGCCAAACGCTGACTGGAATCCAATTGTTATGAGAAACAATAGGCACCTACTGTATACAGCACAGGCGCACTGTGCACCTGCTATGTGCCAAGCCACATGAAACACATACATCTGGGCCCTTTAAACCAAACAGGGTGGAAATGACCATCCTGATTAAAAGGAAGTGGCAGAGGGGGACATGCAGAGAGCAGAGGACTACAGGGATTCTGTCCGCACTGGAGCACCTATCAAAGGTGATCAAGAGCAAAGCAGTCACAAAACAGAGTGTGGGGCATCCCAGGGGGAGGAGCTGCCTGGGGCCCAAGACAGCCACGTAGGTGGAGGAACAGGAAGACTGCAGAGGCCGGGAGGAAGCAGGGAGGGGCAGGGGAAGGAGTAGACAAATCTAGGGCACAGCCTTAGGACACAGCTGCAGAGCCCAAGCAGGGCCCCAGGCAGTGGTATGAGCCCAGAGCCAGGGCATGAAAGGTGTGTGACTGGCTGAGACTCACTCCAGCAACCCTGAAAGCCACAGCAAGCTCTTCAGCAGAGAAGGGGACACCAGAGCCAGAGGCCTGAGGGTCCCAGCACAGGTGGGAAGTGGGGGCAGGGCAGGAAGTTGGGGCCTGAGTCACCGGGCACGTCAGTGCCCGCCAGGCCCAGGTTGGGCTCTCTGGCACCTTCCCTGGGCACCTCAGCGTGGGCCAGCCCAGATTTTCCAGTCCCAGGGCAGGCAGGCTGGGTGGGTGGAGGCCTCGGGTTTGGTAGAGCTTAGTTCCAGGCCAAAAGGCAGAGCAGGGCGGCCAGCACCTTGAACCAAGGTCCAGGGAGATTTCATCCCAATCCACCCTAGGCAATGAGGAACTACCTGGTCCCACCAGAGGCCAGGCCTGAGTCTCCTGGCACCTCTGCACCCACCAGGCCCAAGATGGGCTCTCCCCCAACAGCAAGGGGCCCCTCACCCACATAAGCATGCACACCTACCCGGTCAGCAGCAGCCCTCGCTGCAACGGCTCCTGGGCCAGGTTCCGGCCCCCAGTGATGGGCCAGCTCTGGGAGGGGGTGGCAGAGATGTGCACACAAGGTTAGGACAAACATCTTCTCCCTTTCATCCCAAGCATGGCACATTATAACCTCCAAGCCTAGAACTGGAACACTCCCCCTTCCTCAACAGCACCCTGCAAGACTCCCCGACCCCCAAACACACCAAGACACTGGAGACAGGCTGGGGGCTCTGCTGCTCGCCAGCGCTCACTATGCGGGCCCACAGCTTGGCGGGGACATTGGCCACATGGGCCGAGCAGGTGATTGCAGACGAGTGCAGTGGGGCCAGGTATGGGGCAGGCACGGCTGGCCAGCCAGGAGTCTGCAGGTCCAACACCACCAGCTCCTCTTCCAGCAGCACAGCCAGGGCCTGGGGGTCATCAAATTCTGTGGGACGGAGGGGCCATGGGGTGAGTGCAGCCACAGGTGGCAAGGGTGCCGGGTGTGGCTGGGAAAGGGTAGCGCAGGGCAGGGCACCCACCATCCTCGGGCCGCATGCTGTGCACAGTGAAGAAGTCGATGATGCGGGAGGTGAAGTCCAGCGTCACCAATGTCTCAGCTCGAAGCACACTCACACAGTGGCGGTCACCATAGCTGGCACGGGGCATGCCACCACTGAAGATGATAAAGTGGCCCCTGTGTGTGGTGGGAGGTGTGAGAGCCATGAGCCACCTGGGTCTGGAGCACATACTGCATGTCCCAGGCAGAGCCCACCCTTCCAGCCCCCTAGCCAGACCCAACTCACATCGGACACCCACTCCCTTGACCTACCCAGATTCACAGTTCCGCCACAGAATCTTGTTGATGGCCTTGCAGGGAAAGGGGCCTGGGGGGTGGGACAGCATCAGACCAGACTCGCTGGTGGTTCTTAGCACTTCTGCCGTTCCTGCCCGTCCCTCCACTGCTCTCTACCTTGCAGCTGCCTCCTGCCTCCCCGCAAAGTCGTGGCCGGGGGGAAGGCACACTGCCCCCAGACCAGGCCCTCGGGGAAGTCACTACTCAGCCAGTTTGGCTTGGCTCAGTTGTGCCCTCTCCTGCCACCACCCTCTGGCTGAGGCCTCCCAGCACTCACCGTAAGGTGTGGTGGCCACTGTGGGCTGCAGCGCTGGGGAGCTGCCGGTATCCACAGACCAGACAGCGTAGCTGCCATCGCTGTGGGAGCTGACGACAGTGCTGCTGTCACGCCCCCAGCATAGGCTCTCCAGCTGCTATGGGCAGGCGGGGGCAAACAGGCAGGCATGAGCCATGGGTGTGCACAAGGGTCCCAGGCTGAGGGGACACGGGCCTCACCCACATACCTGGTTCCCCAGGAAGACGTGGTCCGCACACTGTGAGGTCTGGTTCCAGATGACTAGCAGGCCCCGGCTGTAGCCAATGAGAATCTTCGTGGGGTCCCGCAGGTGTCCCTGCAGCGACTCCACAGGGCCCAGCGCCTTTCCGCAGCGGTAGTCATCTGGCACGCTGTGAAGAAAGGCGGGTGAGCCAGCAGAACCTCCCGGGCACAGAGTGTGTGCTAGGAAGCCCACTGGCCTCTTACCTGCGCAGAACCTCGCCTGGGGCAAGCGTCTGCCCCTCAAGCAGGGTCAGGGTGGTAACATCCAGGAAGAAGACACTGCTGCCCTCAGTGCCCAGGGCTGCTATGTCGCCGGCAGCCACCAGCAGGACCACTGTGACTCGGGTAAGGCTGGGCGGTGCACTGCAGGGAACAAGGGGAAGGGAGTGAGGGTGCAAGCCCATCCATCTGCTGAGGTGGGGTGTGAGGGGCTGGGCCACTGCTGATAACTCATCACTGGCTCCACGGCACACACTAGGGCCTACTTACAGAGCCACCCCAGGAAGACATGCGTCATAATCAGCCCGCTCAATTATTCATCAGGATGTCAGCAGGGAGACAGATAAAAATAGGCTCCCCAGGTCTTGCAGACTGAGCTCCTAGCTCCTCCCACCCACCAGGAGAGGACAGCAGGAACCAGGGCATTGCCCAAGCCAGGACCAGGAGCTCCTCCCTGATCCCCACCTAGGAAGCGCACTGCCAACCCTCAGATACCTCCTCACTTCACAGGGGGGCCTCAGATACCCCCATCTGCAGAAGCTGGGAGGCACCAGGAATCCATCCCTGGGTTAGGACTCCCATGTTCCGGCTATTTCAGGCAGGGCTGGGGAGAGAGATGCCCCCTGCTCTCACTCAGCTGGGGCATGCTGCCAGCACTTCACCGAGCACAGCCCATGGGACCCTCCTTGTCCTCAAGCCTGTCCTCTCACCTATGCACAGAAAGGCCTGTCTCCCACCCACAGCTGAGGGCCAGGGGACCCTTGCTGTTACTAACTGGCTTAGGCCCTGCCCCAAACCCCTAGACACCCCCATCAATGTAGTAAGTGTAGTGCCAGGCCTCAGGTCCTAGGAGTTTGGCATATAATGCATGTACCTCCTGCTGTTCACAACGTTAATTACCTGCTCACCTCGACTCAGCCCAAACTTCCCATTTAACCTGAAAAGTTCGCAGAGTACACCTCAGTAAAGCAGGGTCCAACAGCTGCAGCCTAGGACCCAGGCCCGGCTCAAGGCACCGCTCCCTGAACCCAGCCCCCGCTAGCAGCTGCCCGCCCCCATGCTGCCTTTACACAGCAGGCTCTCAGAGCCTCCCCTGGATCCGCCCCAGCCAAGTTCTCCAGTACCTGGCACCATCAAAGCCGGGCCGGCTGGGCAGCTGGAAGCTCAGTGCCTCTTCCAGGTGGGCACAGCCATTATGGTGGACAATCTCCCACAGATGCAGACTGCTATCATCAAGCAGGGTCAGGAGGCGTCCCTGGTATATGAGCAGAGATGAAAACTGGGCTGGCCTAGGGGGGTGAGTGGATATGGGGGCCACAGGGAGCTGGCCAGTGGGATGCAGAGGCTCACCTGGCCGGGCAAGAAGTGCATCTGTGTGACGGTGGCTGCATCCCGGTGCAGGCCTGTGAACTCCACACCAGGTGCACCATAGCTGAGGGTGGCAGGTCAAGGTGGAAATAGGCATGGACCAGGAAATCACAGCAAGAGATACCCAAGGCTCCTCCTTCACCCAGACTATTCCAGTGGGCCCCGCCATGGGCTGACCATCCAGGAGTCATCCCTGAAGAACGGAGATCCCCTCCCTAAAGCTCCCACCCTGCACCTCCACAGTATGCCCAAGCTCAGTGTGCAGGCTCCACTCATTCCTGCAAGTCGGGTGCTGCTATGGGACCTTCACTTCCTGTAAACTGAGTCAGTGACTCCCACTTTGGAGGGCTGTTGCAGATCAAGTGAGAACAAACACGCCCAGCAGGCTTAGCCTCAGCCTGGTGAGAGGATGGGGCTCCACTTCACTTCAGCCCCGGGTGTGTCTATGGGCTCTGGGAGCTGTGCCTTGCCAGATAGGACCAGGCAGGCCAGAGATGCAAGGCCAGGCCTGGACAAGAATGCCAGAGGGGAGGAGAGTTCAGCCTGCCTTTTCTCACAGCTTCAGGCCAAACTTCAGCCTTGGGTAAGAAAACCCACCTCCCTCCAAGGCAGGAAGCCAACAACCACCACCATGAGGGAAGAGAGACCCCAGCCTGCCCATTCAACAGATAAGCACAGAGACTTGGAGGGGTTGGGTGACCTGCTTGAAGTGCCCAGTGTCAGTGCCTGAGTCCCAGCAACTCCAGGGCTGATAGCGGACTGCACGGCGGGCCTGAGGGCCCCCAGGACAGAGGATGCAGGGGAGTCAGCTACGTTGCCCCAGTGACAACACAGGAGCCGTTGCCTAGAGCTTGAGCTGGGATTTCCTACAGGAGCCTGGCAAGGAACTCTGAAGAAGGGACAAAAGAGGGGACAGGAGCAGCTGGGCGGGAACCAGCGTTGTCAAGGAGATGGGGCTGGCCTGGCAGGGGGAGGGACAGCTTCTAGTCACCAGGGCTGGCCCTCTCCAGCCTCAGTTTCCCAACCTGAGGGGCTCCAGGCAGTGGTGGTCAGGGGAAGCAAGGAAGGGAAGGGGACCCCGGGCTCCAGCCTCCTTTCTGAGGCTCAGTCTCCTCATCTTTATGAGCCTGAGGAACAAGCAAGTGAACAGGAGACCCCAACGCAGGAGGAACATCTGAAGGCTGCAGGGACACATGTGGATGCAGCGCAGCACCCGCAGGGGTGGGAGCAGCAGGCAGGCAGCACGGCATGTGGGCCCAGAGCACTGCCTCACTCACCCTACGGGTGCTGCTGGGGCCATGGGAGAGGAGAGGACATCTCAGCCCATCTGTACTCCCCAGAGTAGGCAAGGAGTCCCGCCCCTTTCTGGCCAGTGCCCCAGCCCTGGGGTGAGAAGACCCCCCTCCCACACCCTCCCCTTTCCCGGCATTGACAAATTTTCTGGGAAGTGATGTCCGAAACCAGGGTACTGAAACCCAGAGGGCCACACAGGAGGGGTGGGGGTCGGCACCCCTTGCTAAGTCACCATCAGCCAGACCCTGCACCTTGGCTTCCCCAAGAGCAGTTGGGGTGGGACTCTCCAGGGCCGGCAAGGAGGCACTGAGCTGCCAGTCTGCCCCCCACCCCCACCCGGCGCCTGCAGGGAAAATGCCTGCTTTGTGCAGCTCACACAGCCCATTGTGCAGCAGCCAGGATCCAGGTGGGGGCCGTGCTGCGCTCACCATGCCGAGCCTGGCACTGCCCCCAGCCCCCTTGGCTGCACACATGTGTCTTCACATTCATACACGTGTGTGCACCAGCTCACCAGGGCCCCCAGCCCACTTGCCACCCTCCATGGGTATCACAGCCCAGCCCCCAGGCCTGGCCTCCCCAGTCACGGTTGCTGGGATGATGGCAGGGTCGCCTAGGTAACTGGCTGGCTGACATGTAGCAAGTGACAGCTGTGGTTACTGAAAACTAAGCCCCCATCACCCAACTCTCAGCAAAAGGACCCCTGAGACAACTCATCTCTGCGCAGTCGTCCCAGGTACAGAAGCCATACCAGCCTCCACCAAGATCCCAGCACTTACTGTAGTGTCCACAGAAGCCCCCACTACTGCCCATCAGAGCACCTCTGTCTCCTCTTGAGCTGGAAACTGCCAAGACTGGGACCCCAGAACATAGGGAACTACAGGCAAGTGGTCCTGAACACCTATCCTGCAAAGGATACATCTTGACAGCGCCAGACCTGGTGCCAATGGCCATGATGCGAAGTTCGGGGTCGAAGGCCAGGGCGCTGGGCTGGTTGGGGAAGCCATGCTCCACAGTCTGTGAGGAGGGGAGGGCTGCTGGGGGTAAGCACTCCCAGGTACCTGTGCCTTGGCCCACCCCGAGGCCCACCCCAAGGCTGCCTCCAGGGTCTACAGCTGACACACTGGGGATAAGAGCCAGGTCTACTCACTGTGCCTCAGCATCCTCAACTGTGAAATGGGTTATCATGCCTCCAGTTGGTGGGGAGGTGGCCAAGCCCCTGGACTCCACCATGACTCTACCATGTGCATGGCCCACAGAGGCCCTCCCCTTGCCAAGCCCGTGTCCCCCAATGCACACGGGCTCATGTGGACCCCACTGCATGTAGGCTCCCACAACCAACAGGTGAAGCAAGGCTCACAGAGGTACAAGCACCGATGAGGCCCCACCTGCCCTATGAAGGGCTCCACACCCCATTCTTCAAGGCACAGACTAAAGCGTGGGGAGGAGTCCCATATGATGTCCATGATGAGCCCCAAATGCAGGCCTGAGTGGAGGTCACAGGTCAAGGGAGAACACCCAGGATCAGCCAGGCAGAGGCTTTTGCCTCCTCCCAGACACAGGGAGACAGAGGCCCAGAAAGAGGTAGCTTTCTGCCTGGACCCTGAAGGCATCATCCCACCTCCCCACCTGGCAACAGCTGGGCAACATGATTCCCATGCACATCAGTGGCGGAGACGATGTTAAGGGGGTTTGTGTACCTAGAGTGTCCATGGACAGGTCCCCAACCGTTCCCGTGCCCCTTTCACAGCGCAGCCCCTTCTCCATCAGTCTCCTGTCTTTAGCTGGCTGTGCCCTCCGTGGGAAGCCTGCACAGCTGAGCTCCAGCCCCATCCTGAACACCAGTGCAGGACACCCCACGTTGGCCACTGATAACTCCTTTTTCATTTCTTTTCTTTCTTTCTTTCTTTCTTTATTTTTTTTTTTTATTTCTACCACTGGTAACTCCTGACCCACTGACTTGGGCAGACGCACATTTTAAGAAGCCCCAGTTCCCAGCCTGTAACCCCAACCTCCCTCCCTGCCTGCCTCTGCCCATCCAGGTGGGGACTGAGACCTCTGGGTAGCTGGTTTGGTCAGGGCCTAGCTGTTTGGCCTTGGGCAATTCATAGTACTCTCCAAGCCTCAGTCTCCCATCTGGGCCCTGAGGACAGTAAGCCCACCTAAGGACAGAGTTGGCCATTTGGCTAGGGCTTCTCTCTCCCACCGATAATGCCACGCCCTTGCTGCACCTGACCTTGTCTAGCCAGTCCCTCACTACAACCAAGGTCCAGAGACAGGACACTGCATCACAAACCCCCCCAGCTTTTCCACTTTCCAGCATCTGCTTCCCTCATATCACATCCAGCCCATTTCTGAGCCCCATGAACTCAGTTTCAAAACACACAGAAGACACCCCCCACCCTGCTCCAGGCCACACCATCACCCGCCTGGATTGGTGCTCACTACAGTCTCTTCTCCCACAGAGGCCAGACAGATCCTATGGAAACCACAGCCAGATCGTCGTCCCTCCCTTGCTCAGGATCCCCCTGGGGATCCCAGCTAAGGGAGGCTTGCGCCTCCAGGCCTTTGCACCTACTGCCCCTCTGCCTGGAACGCACTTCCCCAAGCACTTCCTGTTGCTCTTGGGAGTCACCTTCCCAGAGAGGCCTCCCTAAGTCATCCTGGCTGCAGCAGCCACCCTGGCCACACCTCCCACCTCCTTGCCCTGCTTCATTTGATCCACAGCACTGGCTACCACCCCAACTACTGCCTATTTTACTTTTTTTGCTTTGGCTTTTCACTGTCTCCTGCACAAGTACATCAGCCCCCTGAGTTAAGAGAATTTGTCCTTTTTGGTAACTACTGTTGTCCTCAGCACCTTGGAGACCTCACATGTAGTGGGGCTCAGTATTAGTTGACAGAGAAGGCAGATTCCACAGGCAACGTGTGGGCTGGGCTGGGATTTGAACCCAAGATTCGGAGTCCAAAGTCTCTGCTCACTCCTGATCTGTATTCTACCCCCCAAACTCAGGAACCAGGGGCCTATTCCCTAGCAATCACCTATTGCCCCCTTTGGTGACTAAGTCCCTTCCCCAAGACCACTCCACTTCCTGCCACTGCTGCCCACACTTCTCCTCAGTGGAGGGCCCTTACCTTCTGCCACCCCAAGGCTAGCCAGAGTGGGCTGAGCTTCGCCCCCAGCTGTCTCCAGTCCCAACTGCACACCCCAATTCACTGGCTGAAAATATGGCATTTAGACCAGGCATGGTAGTAGCTCATGCCTATAATCCTAGCACTCTGGGAAGCCAACATGGATGGATCTCTTAAGCCCAGGAGTTCAAGACCAGCCTGGGCAACATGGCTCTACAAAAAATACAAAAACCAGCCAGGCATGGTGACACAAGCCTATAGTCCCAGCTACCCTGGAGGCTGAGGTGGATCACCTGAGCCAGGGAGGTTGAGGCTGCAGTGGGCCATGATTGTGCCACTGTAAACCAGCCGGGGCAAGAGACCCTGTCTAAAAAAAAAAGTGACATTTAGTCCTGTGCCTGTTCCCGCCTTCCCCTGAAGGGCCATTCTTCTTTCACCTCGCCCTCATAGCCTCCCTGGCAGAGAAAACAGGCGCCATCTGGGGACCGTGGCGCACCAGCTTCCCCTCTGAGCCCCTCTCAGGTTCCCGTTAGGTTCTCAGCCACCATGTGAGGGTCCTGGCAGCTCTCACCAGCAACCACTGCAGACCTCAGTAGGGAAACCTGGAGCCCTCCCATGGCCTCTGCTACTCCAGGTCCAGCCGTCCCAGAGCCTCCTCCAAGACAAGAGGCAGCCCAGGGTGCCTGGCATGACACTGGTCCAGGATCACAGCAGCCCCTTGGAAAAAATCCCTGCCCCGTAAGGTTAAAATACAACCCCACCAACACAGGAACTCAAGAAAGATACTGGCTGAGCTCACTGTGTGACTCTGGGCAAGTCGTCACCCCTCACAGAACCTCAATTTTCTTACCTGTATTTTGAAGATAACTCTAATTTCGAAGAGCAGTGAGAGGCTCTGGGGTAAGACTGAGGACAAAACCAACGCTCCCAGAACAGTGAGCCAGGAGCAGGCTGAGGCCCTGCTCTAACATCAGTGCAGAAGGAGGCCAGGGCTGGGGTGGCCCCGGCCCCTTTCCCCGGCCCCTTGTGTCCCACTAGGGGAAAGGAAAAAAAAGCCTCCACCTCACTCCACCTTGGTGCACGCAGCAGGACAGCTGGCCCATGTGGTACAGGGAGCCAGGGCCCACAGTATGGAGAAAAGTAGCCTCATTTGACTGCTAGGGAAACTGAGGCCCCAAGATTTGAAGTGCAGTGTAGTATACAGCCAGCCATGTCCCCTGAACTGGGCGCCCCGGGCAGAGCAGGGTAGAGCAGGGCTGGGCAAGGCAGAGCCTGGAGCAGTGGGGGAAGGAAGGAGAGACTCCTTGAAGGGATTTCCCAGCCTCACCCCCGACAGCTGCCTTGCCCCCACTAACCCTCTTGCCCTCCAGGGTGCCAAAGCACAAAACAAACAGGGGCCCAGGGCTGTCCCAAGGGCCGAGCAGGAACGCAAAGAAAAAGGATAAAGAAGACATAGAGTGAGCGACAGAGTAAGGCCGAAAGACTCCAGAGAGACAGAGAGAGACAGGCAAAGAAAACTCAGAGACGAAGAGGCAGAAAGAGACATGAGAGGCAAGGAGATAAAGAGAGACAGGCAGAGATACGCAGGGTCAGAGACAGACACCCCCACACATACAGGCACAACTGGGGCGAGGGGTCCAGTCAGCGACGGAGAGAGAGGGACAGAGACCCAGAGACAGGCAAAGAATCTCAGAGACAGAGAGACCCAGACATAGAGACGGGCAGAGCCAGGGCCAGGGCGGCCCGCAGAGACTCAGGGAGCAGACACGGAAAGTCGGCCGGAGACCCAGACCCACCCAGAGTCGGAACGAGAGCGGGGCCCGCCGAGGGGGCGCGCAGCCGGGCCCCCGCCCCGCGCCGCGCCGCGCGCCAGCTCCCGCCCCCCAGGCCCGACGTGGCTTCGACCCCGGGCCCCTAGCCCGGGCCCCCGGCCCGCCCCCTCCCGCCCCAGCCCGTGCTGCTGCCGCACCTTGTTGAAGGCGAAGAGCTCCTGCTTGAGCTTCTCGCGCTGCGGGTCGGCGCCCTGCCGCCGGAACCGAAACTTCATCATCTTGCGCCCGGCTGCCGGCGCCGCGCCCGCCGCCGCTACCGCCGCCGCCCGCAGGATGCGCCGCGCGGCCCCGCCGGTCCTGAGGCGCGGGCGGGGCGCCAGGCGGCCCTGGCGCGGGCGCGCGGGGCCGGGCCTGTACGGGGGTGGGCACGGGGCGCGACGGACGGGCCGGCCGACCAATGAGCGTGCCCGCCGTGCCGCCCGCCCCGCCCCTGTTGGTCAGACAATGCAGAACTGGGCCCCCGAGCTCGGCCGGGCTCGCTAAGGGACGCCCTCCGAGCATGCGCCGCGGCGCGGGGCCTGCCGGGACTTGTAGTCCTTGAGCCGGGGTTCCAGCGCAGGCGGCTGGGGAAGCGCTTTGGCGGGGACTGGTGCATGTTCCCGGGCTTGAAGGAGACTTTTTCCTTCTCCTAGAGAGCGAGCGACCTGACCACTCATGTAATGGGGCAGCCCTGTTCCGAAAGTCAAGAGAGCTCTGACTGGAACAACTCCCTGGCCCCGCTGCACCTCAGTTTTCCCATTTACACCATTGGTCAAGTGATTGGCAAGTTTATATTTTACCAATTTCACAGAACTCCATTTTGTCTGTTCCCCGCTGTGTCAGAGCACCTCTCATCGCTGTGCTTTTGCCTTGGCTCTGTAGTCAGTCAGAAATTCTTTCCTCACCCCCAGCCCCTGGGGAACTCCTACACATCTTTCAGGACCCAACGCAAAAGGCTCTTTAGCCGAAGAAAGAGACGGGATCAAGGTGGCATTTGGAACTGTTCTGGGGTTGAATTGGGGCTTCACTGAAATGGGGGAAGGGCCTCCCCCGGCAGGGAACAGCCTGTGAACAAAGCTTAGCCCTGCCGCTACCCCACCCACCTCCCAGGCCTTCTTTTCTCATCTGGACAATGGCCTCGAGGCTGAACCTTTCCTTCCAGGCTGAGGATAGGCCGCCAGGCTAAGAGATGGGGCTGCAGGAGGTCCCAGAAGCTTAGGTGGGGCAGGTAGGACAGGACTTAGCCATACCAACTGTGTCAAGGGAGGAGGTGCTGACCTCTGACCCCGAGGCAGCTGCCAAGCCTTGGGGCCTGCCTGTCCCCCTCCACCCACTCCTAGCCAGCTGTGTTCAGCTTTTCCCAGGAGTTGGGGCTGGATCTGAAAGAGGGGCCAGGAGTGGGTGGGGAGGCAAGAGAAGGGAGGATGACAACAATAAAGCCCCTAAGTGCCTACCGCAGGGCAGACACTGTTCAAAGATCGTCATGGTTTCAGCTGATTTAGTGCTCTCAGGAGCTCTAGGAGGGAGCCAACAATATTACCCATCCCAAATGAGGAAGCTGAGACTATCAGCCAAAAGCGAGAGGTGTTAGTTGTTGGCAGCGCGGCTGGAGTGAGGAGGATGAGACCCTTTTGGCCACTGGCCACGCCACATCCCGCACAGGCAGCAGGGACAGCTCAGAGGTCTGGGCTCTGGTCGCTGCCCTGCCTCACACAGGAAGTAAGAAGTTCCTGGCTAGCTGGCCAAGTGAGTTGGCTCACGCCAGTAATCTCAACACTTTGGGAGCCCGTGGCAGGCGGATCACTAGATCAGGAGTTCCAGACCAACCTGATCAACATGGTGAAACCCCGTCTCTACTAAAAATACAAAAATTAACTGGACATGGTGGTGCACACCTGTAATCCCAGCTACTCAAGAGGTTGAGGCAGGAAAATCGCTTGAATCTGGGAGGCAGAGGTTGCAGGGAGCTGAGATCGTGCCATTGCACTCCAACCTGGGCGACAGAGCAAGACCCAGCATATCTTTTTAATTAGCCAGGCATGTTGGCCCAACTGTAATTCCAGCTACTCAAAAGGCTGAGGCAGGAGGATGGCTTGAGCCCAGGAGGTTGAGGCTGCCTTGAGCCGTGATAGTGCCACTGCTCTCCAGCCTGGGCACAGAGCAGGGCAAAACCCTGTCTCTACTAAAAATACAAAAAATATCGAGATGTGTTGGTGGGCTCCTGTAATCCCAGCTACTCAGGAGGCTGAGGCAGGAGAATCCCTTGAACCTGGGAGGCAGAGCTTGCAGTGAGTCGAGATCATTGCACTCTAGCCTGGGCAACAAAAAAAAAACTCTGTCTCAAAAAAAAAAAAAAAAAAAAGAAAGAAAGAAAGAAAGGAAGAAAAAGGAAAACATTGATTCACGTTCCCTCTTTATCATTTGGAAGCTGTGTGACCTGGAACAAATTACCTCAAAGTCTCTGTGCCTCAGTTTCCTCATCAGTAAAAATGGTAGTAAAAGGGTTGTTGTGGAGATTAAAAGTGTCAGAGGCGCCGGGCGCAGTGGTTCAAGCCTGCAATCCCAGCACTTTGGGAGGCCGAGGCGGGTGGATCATGAGGTCAAGAGATTGAGACCATCCTGGTCAACATGGTGAAACCCTGTCTTTACTAAAAATACAAAACATTAGCTGGGCATGGTGGTGCATGCCTATAATCCCAGCTACTCAGGAGGTTGAGGCAGGAGAATTGCCTGAACCCAGGAGGCGGAGGTTGCGATGAGCTGAGATCGCGCCATTGTACTCCAGCCTGGGTAACAAGAGTGAAACTCCGTCTCAAAAAAAAAAAAAAATAGTGTCAGAGGCATGTGAACCAGAGCAACTCCATCTTAAATAGGAGATGGGTAAAATTAGGCTGAGACCTAGTGGGCTGCATTCCCAGACAGTTAAGGCATTCTTTTTTTTTTTGAGATGGAATCTTGCTCTGTTGCCCAGGCTGGAGTGCAGCGGTGTGATCTCCGCTCACTGCAACCTCTGCCTCCTGGGTTCAAGCGATTCTCCTGCCTTAGCTTCCTGAGTAGCTAGGACTATAGACACATGCCACCATGCCCAGCTACTTTTTTGTATTTTCAGTATAGACGGGGTTTCACTGTGTTAGCCAGGATGGTCTTGATCTCCTAACCTCATGATCCACCTGCCTCAGCCTCCTGAAGTGCTGGGATTACAGGCGTGAGCCACTGCCCCAAGCCTCAGTTAAGGCATTCTAAGTCACAGGATGAGATAGGAAGATGTTGGCGCAAAATACAGGTCATAAAGACCTTGCTGATAAAACAGATTGCAGTAAAGAGGCCAGCCAAAACCCACCAAAACCAAGATGGTCACAAGAGTGACCTCAGGTCATCCTCACTGCTACACTCCCATTAGCTCCATGACAGTTTACAAATGCCGTGGCAAAGCCGGGAAGTTATTCTATATGGTCTAAAAAGGGGAGGTATGAATAATCCATGCCGTGTTTAGCATATCATCAAGAAATAACCATAAAAATGAGCAACTCTGCTGGATACGGTGGCTCATGCCTGTAATCCCAGCACTTTGGGAGGCCGAGGCGGGCAGATCACCTGAGGTCAGGAGTTCGAGACCAGCCTGACCAACATGGAGAAACCCCATCTCTACTAAAAATACAAAATTAGCCTAGCATGGTGGCACATGCCTGTAATCCCAGCTACTCAGAAGGCTGAGGCAGGAGAATCGCTTCTTGAGCTCAGGAGATGGAGGCTGCAGTGAGCAGAGATTTCACCATTGCACTCCAGCCTGGGCAACAAGAGTGAAACTCTGTCTCAAAAAAAAAAAAAAAAAAAAAAAGGGCAACTCTGCCTATGGAGTAGCCCTTTTTTTTGAGACGGAGTCTTGCTCTGTTACCCAGACTGGAGTGCAGATCTCCACTCTGCAACCTCTGCCTCCCAGGTTCAAGCGGTTCTCCTGCCTCAGCTTCCCAAGTAGTTGGGATTACATGCCTGTGCCACTACACCCGGATAGTTTTTGTATTTTTAGTAGAGACGGGGTTGGACAGGCTGGTCTCGAATTCCTGACCTCAGGTGATCCACCTGCCTCGGCCTCCCAAAGTGCTGAGATTACAGGCGTGAGCCACCACACCTAGACAATAAATTTGCTTTTACTTTGCACTGTGGACTTGCTCTAAATTCTTTTTTGCTCGAGATATAAGAACTCTCTCTTGGGGTCTGGATCTGGACCCATTTCCTATAACAAATGAATTAATCCTTAGCACATGCTAAGCAACTAGGAAGAGCCAGGTGAGTGTTAGCTGCTGTTATCATGGTTCCCATTAATTTCCATTAATTGCTGTTTGAGTTCTTTGCCTCTATCACCCTGGGTAAGTCCCTGTCCTACCCCAGTCTCTGTTTTTTTTTTTTTTTTTTGAGACAAAGTCTCGCTCTGTCCCCCAGGCTGGAGTGTAGTGGTGCAATCTCAGCTCACTGCAACCTCTGAATCCTAGGTTCAAGTGATTCTCCTGCCTCAGCCTGCCGAGTAGCTGGGATTACAGGTGCCCGACACCACACCTAGCTAATTTTCTTATTTTTTGTATAGACAAGGTTTCACCATGTTGGTCGGGCTAATGTCAGACTCCTAAGTTCAGGTGACCCACCTGCCTCAGCCTCCCAAAGCGCTGAGATTACAGGCATGAGCTACCGAGCCTGGCCTTTTTTTTTTTATTCTGAGACAGAGTCTTACTCTATTGCTCAGGCTGGAGTGTAGTGGCACGATCTTGGCTCACTGTAATCTCCACCTCCCTGGTTGAAGTGACCCTCCTGCCTCAGCCTCCTGAGTAGCTGGGACTACAGGCATGCACCACTACACTCAGTTAATTTTTGTATTTTTGGTAGACATGGGGTTTCACCATGTTGACCAGGCTGGTCTTGAACTCCTGACCTCAGGTGATCCACCTGCCTTGGCCTCCCAAAATGCTGGGATTACAGGTGTGAGCCACCATGCCCAGCCCCCAGTCTCCATTTTTTTGTTTTTTGAGATAGAGTCTTGCTCTGTTGCCCAGGCTGGAGTACAATGGCGCAATCTCGGCTCACTACAGCCTCTGCCTCCCAGATTCAAGCATTTCTCCTGACTCTGCCTCCCAAGTAGCTGGGATTGCAGACGCCTGCCACCACGCCCGGCTAATTTTTGTATTTTTAGTAGAGATAGAGTTTCACCATGTTAACCAGGCTGGTTTCGAACTCCTGACCTCAGTTGATCTGCCTGCCTTGGCCTCCCAAAGTTCTAGGATTATAGGTGCACACCACCACGCCTGGCTAATTTT